GTGTTTTTGGATTTTTCCTAAATACCAGTATTACAAAAGTTATTAAAGGTGGATACTTTTATCTGAAAAGCACTGTATATCTTGCTATGTTGAATACTACATCAACAGATTACATATAAATATAGGACAAAGAATGCAAGGGCGGATAGAATGAACAGCGATTATGGAGTAGGAAGTAGAAGCAATAAATATCAGGTTTTTCCAAAATTTTAGAACGATTAATGCATAAAAGATTAACCGATTATTTGGAAAACTTCAATCTTTCATATAGTGATCAGAATGGTTTTCGCAGGTCTAGAGATACAGAAGCAATGAATTGAAACAGTTTTTAATGAATTAAAATGAAAAATAGACGATTATATAATTTTCATATAGCCGAAATCATCTGAATATTTTATATTGATTTTGGATATTTCACATTCAACTATTTGCCCATATTGATTATTCTACTGAAATTTTTGTTATTCAATTATTCATATTTTCGTTAAAAGAGCAATGTTCACTGCTCATATCAATTACTTGTGTTTTCTTGTTCAGTATTCCATTTAATTTGTATCTTTAGTTAATTTAGTTCATTCGTATTCATAAACATTGAATGTTTTTGGGATGATAAAGACGAATCGAATAAACTCGTCGAATATCTGTCACGTGAGTCGGTGAAGAAAATGTTAAAAATTCATGAATTTCATCCGTGAAAAACGCAACATCTGCAAGAACTAGGCGATGACGATCCAGACCGACCAATAAAGCACAAAGTATATGCTCTGCTGTTTCATCATTTTGTAATCTAAGGCGAAACAAACTGTCTTCTGACAGTCCGAGTCTCTGCACATGATGATTCAAATGACAGTGACCTGTAAGAAGGCCTGTTAGACATCGTAGTTCTTTCCTACTGTAGTCCAACAACTGTTTGGTATCAAGCTGCGAACGGTGGATAAACGCCTTGGAGTGAGCCAAACCTGGAAGATTCTACCAGAAGTCCATGAATCTTCTTGCCATCCAGGTGTTCAATCTTTGTTTGGCAGAGCCTAAAGCGATGCCAATGACAGGTTCTGGTCCGATGAAGCTGCTTGTAGCACCCTCCTTTGTGAGAGAATCAGCAACCTCATTGCCCTTCAGGGCAGTATGGCCAGGAATCCAGACCAGAGACAATTTGTTAAGTCTTCCGTTTTCCGCAAATTGCTACCAATTTAGACGTTTCTCGGTAGGAGCCAAGAGCTTTCAATACCGCTTGACTGTCCGAGAAAACTTTTATTGACTTGTGTGTGTTGTTGAATTCAACCAATCTCTCCGCACACAATTCAATAGCATAGATTTTCGCTTCAAATACAGTCCCATAAGTCCCTAGGCAGGTTGATATTTCTGTCTCTGGTCTGCAAATGAAAACACCTGCACCAGAGCCTGAAGGTGTATTTGATCCATCTGATCCATCTGTGAACCAACAACTATCTGCTCTTAACATTTTCTTCTCTCGGACGATCCAAACCCCTCTACTCGGTTAAATTACAATATAAGGCAGTTCGTAGTTGACAGTTGGAGACGTACAGTCAGAGGTCATTTCCAGAATGCTGTGACTTCCAGTGTCAACCAACAGTCTGTTGCACTCTGCATTCAATTGATTTGTGCAATTGGTAATGTGCACATGTCAATATGCAGTCCATCTAGCCTCTCTCTCCAGAAAAATGTGAAGACGAGGTAGTTCTAGAAGGATCTCCACGGCCGCTGACGGTGTGAAACTGATGGCACTACGGTGGATCCATCAGGAGCGACACTAACGGTACTTTGATATTTATTTTTTCAGTTTGGATTGGTTGGGCACACGGTATTGATAGGGATGAGTTTTTTTTTGTTTCATTTCATTTTTCACTACCTATCCAAAAAACATTTTTGAGAATTTTTTTATATCATCTTCTGTTTGTAATATGGCACATTGTGAGTTTCCACAATTGTACACTGTATTTAAGAACGATAAAACCAATTGTTTTCACAAACTCACCTGTCCTTGTCCGAGTGAAATAGTCATGAGACTTGTTTTTGCAATTCCTTTATCTGCTGCAAATCTCACCAAACCCGCCATGGGGTCGGAACCAGCTGATAATATGAATACCAATGGTGTACAGCAGTTACTGTCATTATAAGACTCTTCCAAGTTGAACTGAGGTGGTTCCAGATAAGATGAACCCATTTCTTCTACAATGTAATTCTGAAAAATATTTATGAAATGTATTAATTGAACCAAATACGTGTGATTGTTCAACAAGTAGTAACAAAACTGCACCTATTAAGATGTATGATGACAGTTAATTAAATTTGAGAAATGAAATGGACAACTCTTCAAGGAGGAATATGTTTATGCACGAGTTATAAGTATAAGGGATCGGGCAATATAGGAATTTTGTAATATGTGGAGGGACGAATAACAAACATGGTCTCAGACCACATGACCTCAATACATGATTGACAAAAAATTCACGCTGAAAATCATAAAAGAGTAGAAAAAACAGACTGCTTGGCAAAAACATGTGGTACACAGATCGGTCGGGACGGAAGCAGAAATTTACTGTAAGGGCACAAATTTGGATTTCAATTACCTGCTCTTCAGACGGTTTACACCATTCTGAGGAGATCATGCCCGGTACTGATGATGGTCCAAACACCCCGAAACTGGTCTATCGACCAAACGAAATTAATTTCTGCTTTTCATAGTGGGAAATAACTTGCGACGAATCTTCGAAGTCGAAGACGTTGCACATATATGAAGAATCATGACAGAGATCTATCGTTCAAAAATATTGCATTGCATACTGCACCGCATTGTTGCCACATCTACATGTTACAGACATCAACTTGGAAATTTCAAATAGAACACCCTATATATTATTATCATTTTTAAATTCTGCATCGAAATCCAAATTACTTTCATAAACCATGTTCTATACCCATCTCCCTCCGTTTTCAAAATATTAAAAATTTTGTATTTTTTTTGTGAAAACATGGTATTTTTAATATTTAATATAGCATGAATTGGGTGATACACCAAACTCAAACTCTGGCAACAACAAGATAAGCTATGGTGGTTGTTATTTCAGAACGAAACTCAAATCTTATTTTATACAGAGTGTCTGAAAAATACGTCTCAATTTGAAAAACGACCATAACTATTTTTTATTTAAATGGAATCCCCATATATTATTCAATTTTCGACTTCAGCCTATCAATGTGAACAACTGTNGACATCTACATCGGTAACCAAAATTTTAAACTCTCATCTTTTTTTGTTCTCTAGATACGTCTAATAGACCATCGAATGTGGAATACCCTGTATATATATGACAATCAAAATATGTTGGCGATCATCATCAAAAAATTCATTTGTGAAAGTTTCCCAAACTTCTCGCGAAACAGTAATTTGCTATCAAGTGTTCTAATAGATGATAAAAGACGGTTCAACAGCTTCATTACATTGATTGGTTGATTTGTCTTGCAAAGGGGATAGAAAGTGTTGAGACAAGAAGCGTAGTCTGCAGAAGTTTGCTTGGCAAACATTTTGAAAAGAATTTTTCTAGATGATAGAAACACAATCGATCTAGTTCCGGGTGCTCCCACCCCAGAAACAAATACCATATCGTAGATGCGATTCACGAAGCGGAAAATATGCGTTTCGAACTGCGGTATATTTTAGAGATTCTGATATAGCTCTTGAACTTTCCCACATAACTTAATGATATGATCTGCAAATTTCGATTCATTGAAATTCATGATATTGGTCTTGTATAAATTGAAAGATGACAAGTTGGCATCATATATTCATTATTCATTATCCTGTTACGCTAGTTGCACACACACCGATTTTGGACGGCCGACTTTGTACTGGTCGTCCAAATTCCAGTTTGTGTCTGAAAGTTACTTCTTTGCATGATCTTCACATCCATGTATAGAGTTACTTGATGTGATATAAAAAGATCCTTCAAATAATTTCAATGCAGCTGGAAGTTAGCCCAAAAACCGTATGGACAGTTCTAAAAAGAAACCTCCCATATCCATATCACATACAGCGAGTCCAAGTTTCACTGCCTCGAGATTTTTACCCAAAATAAATGTTTTGCAGGTGGTTGATTCATGACACACAATAATAATTTCATACCAAATATTTTATTTACGGAGACAAAGCAAATTTTTCACGAGATGCTATTATGAACTATCACAATGGCCAGTTTTGGGCCTACGAAAATCCCCACGTAATTAGAGCAAGTCATTTTCAGCAATAATTTTTGCTGAACGTTTAGGTAGGAATGATTGGTGAGTACCTAATTGGCCCATTTTCTCTACCAGCAAGATTAACAGGTGAATCCTACACGAACTTTTTGCGAGATCATTTGCCCATTTTGTAAGAAGTGCCGGTACTTGTAACGCTAGTTGCACACACACCGATTTTGGACGGCCGACTTTATACCGGTCGACCAAATTCCAATAGTAAACCACATGTGGGAACGGGACCTGGAACAAACGCCGACCGGTGATCGTCGCCGTCAAAATACCGGTGAGCAGCCGTCCACTGCCACTCTATCGCCGGCAGAATCGGGAAGTAGTGGCGTACATAACCAAAGATACTCTTGCATACTCACCGGTTTTTTAACGACCACTCCAGTCTCGAATGCTCGGTGAAATTGTAGTTACTACGAATTAACTTTGTTTTGGTAGTGCGTGCTAATTTCGACAACAAAGCAACTGATTGTTTGACCGATAAAAATCCGGTGAGTGTGCAAGCACCCGCTACCAATAAAATATCGGCCGATTTTATACTGGCCGTATTATATGTATTAAATTTTTCAGCATGATTTAATAATATTTGAAAGTATTTCTTGGAAAAACAATCTCAGTTTGTCAATTTTCAATCTGAAGGAGTAAACTTCCAAAGGTTCGAGAACTACGCCATTTTCGCAAAGCTGAAGTTTTGAGAGTGTGTGTATCTGTATCTGTAGAGTAGGGAGGGTTAGTAAGCCCACAGCACTTAGGCGACATGTGACCCATTGTACATCATCCCGAGAAGTTGTCCTCCTAGGTCGTCGTCCATCCTGACCTTTCCAGGAAGGTGGACAGGTCGCTGGGAGACATCTCCTTTACATCGACAGGTGTAGGCCAAGACTCGCCGAACACACACTCTCTTATTGACGACAACTCCGGTCATTCGCACAGGACTTGCCTGTTCACACATCCTGCATAGAGGTGTGTTCACCAGCCCCATATTATGGAGGTGTTTCCTCAGTTGACAGTGACCAGTCAGAAATCCTACCGTTAGGCGTAGATTTTTCCTGGTCATTGCCAAATATTTCTTCGGCGCCAGCTTCCCAGCTTCCCAGCTGACAAGATTACATCCTTTAGTTCCGTCCCATCTCTTTAAGGAGTGAGCATGAGTGTAATACTTGACTAGTTCCGTAATTGTCGAAGTCATCAGGCCGTAGGTGCCACTGGGTCCTAAAATTCTTAGTCCAGCCACTTCCTTGGCTTAAGAGTCGGCAATGCGATTACCTTTACTCCTGTCGTGCCCTTCAACCCACCTCAGGATAATGTTATTATCTATCGAGGTTTTGGCTAAATCTTTGAGAGTGTGTGTATTATGCACTCGATTTTTAATTTTGTTGGAATTTTATGCTTGCATAGAAATAGTTCATATCTCATAAACGGTCAGAGATAGGTATAGGACATAATTGAATAAAGATGTTCGCATTGGTTGGCTGAATTTGAAGATTGAATAATATACAGGGTGTTCCGTTTGAAAAAAATTTGTTATGGTCGTTTTTCAAAGATATAAATTTAGACGTATTTTTTAGACACTCTGTATAAAATAAGATTCTTGTTTCGTTCTGAAATAATGACCACCATACCTTATCTCAATGTTAACAGAATTTGAGTTCGATGTATCAGGTAATTCATGCGATATTAAATTTTAATGTTTTCGCCAAAAAAATTACAAAATAATTAATACATTAAAAACGGTGAGAGATAGGTAAAGAACATGGTTCACAAAAGTAACTTGGATTTCGATGCAGAATTCAAAAATGATATAATCTAGGGTGTTCGATTTGAAATTTCCAAGTTGATGTCGGTTACATATAGATGTGGCAACAATGCGGCGATGAAAATATTTACAAACTGTCATCTTTTTCTGTTCTCTAGATACGTCTAATAGACCATCGAATATGGAATACCCTGTATATATATGACAATCAAAATATGTTGGCGATCATCATCAAAAAATTCATTTGTGAAAGTTTCCCAAACTTCTCGCGAAACAGTCCGGTACTTGTAACGCTAGTTGCACACACACCGATTTTGGACGGCCGACTTTATACCGGTCGTCCAAATTCCAATAGTGAACCACATGTGGGAACGGGACCTGGAACACACGCCGACCGGTGATCGTCGCCGGTAAAATACTGGTGAGCAGCCGTCCACTGCCACTGTATCGCCGGCAGAATCAGGAAGTAGTGGCGTACATGACTAAATACACTCTTGCATACTCACCGATTTTTTAACGACCATTCCAGTCTCGAATGCTCGGTGAAATTGTAGTTACTACGGATTAACTTTGTTTTGGTAGTGCGTGCTAATTTCGACAACAAAGCAACTGATTGTATGACCGATAAAAATCCGGTGAGTGTGCAAGCACCCGCTACCAATAAAATATTGGCTGATTTTATACTGGCCGTCCAAAATCGGCCGTCCAAAGAGCAATAGGTCTAGAACAGACCCACTCATTCTCTCTAATGGTGTATCTTCCAAAAGATTAGAGTGAGAATGTTTTTGTGTCAATTCCACAAATGATTACTTCGTGAATTGAATCATCATCGCTACTTCTTCTATTGTTGAATATTTGCAGAGCAAAAAAATTGTTATCATTGCTTCAAAGCTATTGAGTTATTTTTTTATTTATTATCACGTCATTTTTGAAATATTCATTATGAGTATCCCGAATTGTTCAGTTTATGTAGGTACTTCCTTGTTAGGAATCACACGTTGAAAAGTAAGACCTCGTTAGTCCTCGGCTCGCACAAGTTTCGACTTTTGGGAGTTGTCGTTCGTAGAGGGGCGACAGCTGGGTAACTGAAAAACAGTTTTTTTTTCAACAGACTTTCACTTACCTGTACTGCAGGAACGACTTTGTCTGGCCTTATGCACCGTAAAACTATAAGTCTTATCAGTCCACTTGATTCATGAAAAGGAAATGGGCAAGGAATTTCGTTAGGATTGAAAACATCATAAAATTCTTTCCAAGCAGCATTGTTCGTTTCCGCGGATCTTTTAAACTTTTCCATGCTGAAAAAGTCAATAGTCAAATTAGTCAATAGTCAAAAGTCAAAATTATACACAATGAAATTCATTATGAACACAGACCTGTTGCTTGGTGAAAATCAATAACCCTATCCATGAGAACAATTATACAATTTTACCACTATAAATTCATTTCAATACACGTTTCACTACACTGAAGTTTCATCAGTCGAAATGGTCAGCATAATCGTCCTATCAAGAAGACTATTCGCAGTGTGGTAAATACGTATGAGTCCACTGGTTCAGTAAACGATCGACCAACACCCGTAGGTCAACGAAACGTAAGATCTGCCGAAAACATTGCCGCTGTCTGTGAGAGTGTACAGGAGAATTCGAAGCAGTCGATTTCGCTTCGCTCACAAAAAGTCGGCCTTTTGCAGACCACAACTTGGCTAATTTTGCGTCGTGACTTAGGCAAGCATACGTACAAAATTCATCTGACGCAGGAACTAAAGGTAAACGACCACAGAAAACGACGGGGATTTGCTGTTTGGACTCTGGAGCAGTCGGTAACTGACCCTGATTCTCAACGAAAAAGTCTTCAACGTTTACTACGTAAACAAACGAATTAGGGACGATACCAATCCACGTTAGATCCAAGAGGATCCGGTACATCCAGAAAAAGTCACTGCTTGGTGAGGATTTTAGGCTGGCGGCATCTTCACCATATTTATTTGAGGTTCAGGTACAGAACCAGCACGCTGTGATGATAACTTATTTCCAATATTCTGTTTCTACAGAATTCAAATAGCGAGCTTTGCTTTATTTTGACTATAATGAATGATACTCACCCACTCAAACTGCTAGCTCTTACAACTTCTGACCATGATTTATCGGTTAACCAATCAGGAGAAGGATTAGGATACGGATTTTCTAGAGCTACTCCGCCTGTTAATAAAAATGTCAACAATTCTTCGTGAATTTTTCCCTGAAAAATGATAGATAGATAAATTTCACTATTATCATAATTTTCTGACGGGAATATTCATTCATTTATTGCCAAAAAACGACAAGGAAAACACAGGGAAGTATTTATACAAGAAATAATCAAACATAAATATATAACTTCAAAGAAAACTATTTCTCAGAATCTGTCTAATCAATAGCAAAAAAAAACAAATATGGTCGTGTAAATTGATGAAACAAATAGTTTTTCAATGTTATCTTGAATTTTTATTTGTTTGTTATTTGTTTAAGGTCATTTTGGTAATTCGTTATTTGCAATTATTGCTTTGTAAAATATAAATTTTCTGGAAAGTGCAGATTTGAGATTCTTTGTCACCAAATACNTTATCAGATATCATATGATGTAAACACAGCTCAAGGTCGTGTGACGTCATTCAAGATACAGCATCGTTGAGGTTGAAACACAATGATCTAAAACAAGTATTTGACATACATAGTATGAGAACTGGCAAAAGTGGCACGCATTCATCAGCTTACTCCCCAAATCAAGCGCGCGTAAAGGACTTTTACTTCAGAAATATTTCAATCGATAATCAGATTTTTATACATAAACCATCCGATTGAGTGATGAAAAAATCAAGTTGGGTATTTTTTGGTGACCTTACCTTAATTATAGTTTCGAATTTTTTTTCTACTATAAACATGTATGTTTCTCGGGAAAAATAATTTTCACTTATATTCATAACTCCTTGTTTTCCATGAAATTGTGTTGGTTATGAAACTATTAACTGTAGTTGAGGAAATTCTATAAACACTTTCGAACTCCGTGATTCGAGTTGTTCTAAATTATGTTTGGAAATATAAAGTTTTTTACCTGAGATCTCCGAATTCCGACAGTCAAAACGAAAGAAAATATCAGCTTATCCTTCTCGAACAACGATCTGCATACATTCCTATATATACTATTGGTAAAATGACTGTTGAGATAACCCAATCGTTCTTCCAGAACATTAGATTTTGTGCTGTTGATGATGGATTGGTTATACAGGTTGATGAACCAGACCAACGAATATTGGTACATGGGGTCAATATTGGCCAATTCAGAAATACAGAAAAATAATACGGAAGAATGCTTAGAAACTGGAACGTATCCGTTACGCGCTTGATCGATTTCTTTCTCCGTCACTGCAGCTAATTTCTGTTTCTCTTGAATATCCTCGGATAAAACTTTACTAGATGATAATATTTTTATAGCTGTTTCGTCTTCCAAAATGTTGCCTTCTGAAGATGATAAGACCTGCAAAAAGTTATACCTCAGCGTGACTGAGCATGAATAGACTACAATATCAAAAAAAAATAGAAATATCAATTGTTTTCCAAAAGAATCAAAACAAATCTCACTTCCAATATTTTATCTTCGATTTCTTTCAACATTTTCTTATTATTGGCACTTTCAACAATCATCGCATTCTTTTTCTCTTCCAATTCCGGTTTTTCTCTAGCAACAACGATTCCCAAAAGCTGATCCTGCAATCCTTGTGGAGTAATCATGAAGTTCACTAGAGTCACTTTGACTGCAATCTCTGGCAGGTAATGAGGATTCCTCAGTCTGGTTGTGATGAAAAATCTGAAGTCGAACGAGTATTCCAAAACATTGTCCCCAAGTTTCAAATACCAGACTCCTTGAGACTTGAAAATTGTTTTCACCAAAACTGGATCTAATATAGCATCGATTTCTTCATTGATATTTTCTAATAATACAGGTGTTCCAAAAGTTATTGCATTTTCTAGGACTCTAATGTAGTTCTGGTCTGTTAGTTTGATAACCTGAAGTCTATTGTTCTTCTCCATATTTTTCACCCATTTATTCGCTTGCCCTGTGAAAGAAAAGGTAATCTACAATTATGTGATAGTTCAAAATGAAGAAGGCAGAATCCAAATAACCGTATGTATTGAAATCATCATTCTTTAATGACCCCAATAGACATGCACGTTTAGAAATGGGACCTCAACTGAATTCGTGAAAATAAATACAGGAAATTAGGTCCTCTGAATACAAAACATATTTTAAAAATGGAAATATTCATCGAATACTGATCACCTGAGCAATGCAGTGTAAACCATACAATGAAAACTAAATGAAAATAAGTATGAAACAATAGAAGTGTAATATAAAGATCATAATTTCTGTTGGAGGAAGAAAGCAAAAGCTGTTTTGATTCTGATTTAGTTTTTTAGGAAGATTATTTTATATACAGTGTGACCCATTTAAAATGGAACCACCCCTGTAGAATGTGCATTTTTCAATCAATCTCAATTTTTTTTTATTGAAATATTAAGCATGAAAAACTGTATCTTGACACTAACTTTCACAATTTTAGTTTCATTTCCAAGGCACTCTATGGTTTTTTTTGTTTGTCAAAAACGGCAAAAGTTTATTAGGCAATTTTTGTTTTCAAATTTGACTACACCACTGGATTCGTAGTCGTTATAAATCAAAACTGTCAAATTTTCATTAAAAAATATTTGTTAACAACGAAGTTACAACAACTTCAATTTTGGAAACAAAGTATTTGTTTGTAATTTTTATTCAGATTATAGACATATTTGAGATCTGACAACACTGTCATCACCAAGTAGAACACCAGTGAATTTGTACAGNCCCAAGTTTCAAATACCAAACTCCTTGAGACTTGAAAATTGTTTTCACCAAAACTGGATCTAATATAGCATCGATTTCTTCATTGATATTTTCTAATAGAACAGGTGTTCCAAAAGTTATTGCATTTTCTAGGACTCTAATGTAATTCTGGTCTGTTAGTTTGATAACCTGAAGTCTATTGTTCTTCTCCATATTTTTCACCCATTTATTTGCTTGTCCTGTGAAAGATAAGGTGATCCACAATTATGTGATAGTTCAACATAAAGAATGCAGAATCCAAATAACCGTATATATTGAAATCATCATTCTTTAATGACCCCAATAGACATGCACGTTTAGAAATGGGGCCTCAACTGAATTCGTGAAAATAAATATCAACAGGAAATTAGGGTCCTCTAAATACAAAACATATATTAAAAATGTGTGAACCATATAATGAGAGCTAAATCAAAATAAGTATGAAACAACAGAAGTGTAATATAAAGAACAGAATTTCTGTTGGAGGAAGAGAGCAGAAACTGTTTTGATTCTGATTTAGTTTTTCTATGAAGATTATTGTATATATCAACGCCTAAATGAGATTTCATTGTTAACTCCTCAAATTTTGAGCGACATGATTGAACCAGGAGTTATTTGGTTTGTATATCATTATAATTATTATCATTGATATTCATTTCACTAAGGATCAAAGTTGAATGTTTATGTTTTTTCTAACGAAATGTACGAAACAAACAAAGAAATTTATAATCCTGTAATAAATTGAGTGAATGTGTACACATAAAATCAAATCAAATGACTTTATTAATCCTGTAGAAATTACAAAGTTATAGGATAGGTCAAATAGCATTTTGTACACATACATAAAATAATACTTAGAGTAAAATTTAACCAAACATATATGAAAGATTGTCATATGCATACAATGATGGACAAAACATATCAACTTCGTTCAACTCCAGCTTCATTAAATTAATGTGATAGAGAAATAAAATTA